TTTTTTTTTTTTTTTTTTTTTTGTACCAGGGATCAAACTCAGGACCTTGCTCTTACAAGGCAGATGGCAGCACCACTGAACTAAGTTCCCACCCCCTTCATATAGTTTTGCATTTACAAAAAAAGAGAATTTATATTGAAATTATCCATGTCTAAAGCCAACTATTTGTGATTGATGACATTAAATAGTTTTCTTTTTATACTAAGTGGAATTGTTCAATTCTGAAAATATCTTAAAAAATAGTCATTTAAATGAGAACATGGTACTCAAATTTCACTGAGACACCTGTATTATCACTACCAGTGACTCTTTTTCTGTTTATACAATGACTGTAGAGGCATTAGAGGATTTACAATGACTTACTTTTTAAATCCTCCATACTTTCTATCATATTATACACTGAACTGAAGGAATATCAAACTTACCATCTTCTGAAAGAAAAAATATTCTTGAGGTAAATCAGTATTATTAATTGGAAACATATGCATGGGAAAGGAAGATCTGCCCACCATTTCTTCATTCCTTTGGAGAAATAAAACAAGAAGGAAATGATCTTAAAATTTCTAGGAAAAAAATGTCATTTTGTCTTAAAAAGAATGACACTTTTCCTAATTAGAGAAAAAGGGCAAACTTCTTTGATAGCATTTAATTTAGATTAGTTTTTACTTTAAATATGCATACAAATAATCAGTTGATATAGTAATACATAATATAGTGACATAGCAATAAATTAATTTCCTATACATTCTCAATACATTCAGCTTTCCATTAGGAAAATGTTAAGATAATGTTATATTTGTATAAAGACAGACATACTTAGATACTGACAGAACAAAAGCAAATTAATAATTACTAATAGTACATTTCAATTTTCTAAAGCTATATAAATGTTTAAACATCAGAAATTTTCATTGATTTCTTTAAAGATATCTTTATTATTAAATTGAAGAAATTATGCTCTTTCCCAGACTGGTGAAGTGAACATGAATACTCTTACTGATGCCTTCCACATATTAATTAAGATCATTAAAATTTCTCATTTAAAAACTATGGTTTCTCAAACTTCATTTATATGTGTAGTATTGGAAATGTCAGGAACACTGGTTAGATTTTGTAGATACTCTTTAATAATCTACTTTAATAATACTGTTCAACCTTAGGATAGGAAGTACACTGGGGAGAGGAAAATCAGTATTAGCAGGCAGACAACGATGGGGTAAGGAGAATGACAAGATGCAGTCAGATGAATATTAATACTAGCATCATAGAAGGCAAGAAGAGTAAACTTTATGAAGAAAAGAACTAGACATATGTTATTTGTCACTGAGGAGTAAAGTGGATAAATATGTAGGCTATCCAGTTTTATCCTTTTAAAGCACCTTCCCTATAACAATAGGATTGAAGAGAGAGTGGGAAGAAAGGATACGAAGGACGGAAGACTGGTCAATAGATGGGAGGAGGAAACTGACACGCTGGTTAGGAGACAGGATGCAGGGAAACTGCAACATGTGTGGAGAAGTCTCAGCAAAGAAATTAAGTGTAAAGTGGAAGGAGGCTACAGAGGAGGAAGACTGACTCCATCATGAAGATGAGATTAGCACCATTATGAAAACAGCTGTGGACTCTCTAAAACCACAATCTTTCCTATGTGAATCTCAGGACACATTTGTCTGCATAGAGGAATCACGTGTAAATTAGGAACTGCTACACATTGACAAATGCCCTCCAAATCCGCCTGTTGAAATCGTTTTCTCCAAGGACATCAGAATGTATTTATCTGAAAACAGGGTTATTGTTGCAAATATCGTTAGTTAAAAGGAGGTCATAGGGCAGTCAGATGGGCCCATAAATCAATATGGCTCTCTTCTACGTAAAAGAGGAGATCTGGAGAGAGTTGCATACAAGAACACCACCATATAAAAACAAAGGCAGAAATCTTGGTAATGCTTCTGTAATCTAATGAGTATCAAACATTTCTAAGGACTGTCAAACACTGCTGCCAAACCACTGAAAACTAGGGAAGAGGCACAGAACAGATTCTTCTTCACAGCTTATAGAAGATTCCTATCCTGCTTATACCTTGTTCTTACTGGCCTCCCACACCGTGAGACAATAAACTTCTGTTGTTTCAGCACTCTGCTAATTGCATTTTGTTATGACAGTCTTGGTAAATAAATACAGGAACTATTTTTAAAGAAGGCATGGGAGGCAGTAAGAAATAGAAAAATTAATGTACAGGAATGACTAGAGAAGGAGATGTTTGTACAAAATTTCTAGGACATAACTTATTCTCATGTTTCCTTTATACCATATCACATTTCCTTTAGGATATCGTAAATACTGTAGGAATCAAGTATTACTAATGAAATGCAATGTAGTGGGATATACACATAATTTTGATCATCTAAAATTTGTGTTTATTTAGAAACTCTATATCAAATGTAAGTAGAGAACACAAGGGTTTTCCTGAAGTTTTCTGGTACTAATTCTTGATCCTTCCTATACCTGAGGAAATTGAAGTATATTTTTCTATTTGGAACTAAAAGAAGAGGAGATGATCTTATACCATATATAGTATATGGCTTGCTTCATAAGTCTATATTGTTTTCCCTATCAAAGTAATAAATTCTACCCTTTCTGGCTAATACCTGAAAACTTACTATATACTAATTCTTTAAATTCTTGCATTTATTATAAAATTCTACTCTCAACAATAACTTTTCCAGCTATTATTTTCATTTTAGAGATAGGCCACAGAGTGGTGAAATGTGGAAAACCAGGTATGAGACCAAGGCCTGGTCTCCTTGTGATGCAGGGGAGGGGATAGCAAGCTGTCCCCTACCTTGGGCTATTTGCTATCATGCTGATGTCAACCAGTTTCAAGGAGAGAAACAACTACAGCTGAAGTCTAATTAAATACAATACACATTTGGGTACAGTCTATAAATTATGTGAATCTGATAAACTTTCTCTGAACCCTGGATCACATGCTGTTTTCTTTGCGTAAGTCTAATAGAAGTGAGAAGCACTGTCAGTGTGGGGCTTTTTGTCCACTAGAGGGCCTTCTTCCAATTTATCTTTGTGTCTTTGTTTTTTAAAACTTCTTGCCCTACCCCATCAGGATAAACTTGTAGGCTGGTTCTTACAGTGAAATAACTTATTAGTGTATTCACACCATTAACAAAATGGCAGAGGCAGGATTCAAATTCAGGCCACAGGATTTTACTACATAAATTTTTAACTTCTCTTGATTTCACAATGCAGAAATGTGGGGGAGAGAAAAGAAATAGAACACAGTGTGTTTTATTTGAGGAGTAAGACTTCTAAAGATAAGCCCGGGTATTTGCCAGTCCCCAGAAGCCACTATCTTATTCCTCGTAAGGCTGATAAAATGAAAAAGATAGGAGGTTCACATATTGTTAGTTTTTTTGGAGAACATTTTGTTCTGCAAAGGAACACAAGAAAACAAACACGATGAATAAAACTCATATAAATCCTTAATGTAGATGGTATGCAAGCTGGTAGTTTATGATAAAGTGATTAAATTTTTAGGGCTAGAATAAGCAAGGAAGTTGTGAGACCAAGGCAGAATTCATGATATATATTAAATATGAACAGTGAATAAATTAGGATTCTATAAGATATACCAAAGGGAAATATACACCAGCCTTGAGCATGCCTCCTATGGGCTAAAAATTGTGCTTCTCTTTTTGCCTTCACTACCTAAGAAACTCAGATTAAGCCTGAGCACATCTGCTTGGAGAAACCAGTGAGCTCTCTGTGTAGCCATGTTTATTATGCATGCTGTTTCTTTTAGGGGCCAAGTAAGCAATGCTGGGTCCAGGAACTTTCCATCTGGATGGATAGCCTTGCTTAAACCTCCACTTTAGTCATAATGGCTGCACTGTAAGCAGGGGAAGTTGACATAACCCAGGGTGAAATAGGGCCTGTGCATAGCAGGATAACCAGAACTCAGTTACCGGATCATTTTTCTCACTTGTGTCCCATCCTAAGTGTGCTAACCTATCTAATGTCTTTGTTTTTGCTTCTTACTATGTCTTTCATTGATTTAATACACAGTGTAATTTGGACATCTTAATTTATATTTAGAACCTTTTTGTTCCATGACCTCTGTGGTAGCTTGTCAGGTAGTATCCTTGAAACCTAGTACTGCATCAAATTCTCAGTCTATACAAAATTCTAGAATACTTTGAAAAATTGACAGAAAGAAGTTCTAAAATAGTGAAATGAATAATGGTATGGCTTAATGTTGGCAGTGTCAGTTTCAAGCTAGCACCTTATCATCTTTGTGACCTTGAGAAATGGTTAAATTTTGTGTCTGCATCTACCAAAACATAAAACATGGTTAATAGTATGTCTGTTCTCCACTACAGGAAGGCCTTGTGTGCTTAAAATGATTTAACATTCATGGAAAGCAAAAACCACAAACAGCACTATATGTGTATGTCTCTACCACTTACTACTGGAATTGTTAAGGCTGAACTTTAAAGGAAAACATTTTCTGTCACTTTGCATAGGTTTGGGGAAAATGAACTCTTAAATTTTGTCCTATGTTAAGTAGTAAAGTTTTGCAATATCCCTGAATATAATAAAACTCATTTGGGCAAATATTTGCTATATTAACTATCTGTTTTTAATATATATATTATATATCCATTTACGTGTGTTACCTTTATGATAAATATGTTTAATTACCTGTAGCTATGTGAATTTATCTTTACACAGCTCTCAAAACTCTGGTTAGCTGGTTCAGAAGAGCGAGAACTCCCTTGAAAGAACAGAATATTGATCACTTCACAATATACTTTATTGGAGTTCTAACATTTTGCCATAAAATAACCAAAAATATTTTAGGACAAACTACTGACTTAACATTTCTTGCTAGTATGAGATATATGCACACCTATTTTCTCTCTCAAGTCATATTTACAGATTGTTTGTATTATTGTAAGTGAAATGAATTCTAATCAAGCTTTGTCCAGAAGCAGTGGCCATACACATGAATTGCACTGACACTGTATGTATAAGATATATTTTGCCTTTTTGTTCTACACATCTGTAAACTAAAAATGGCAAACAATCAGTGATATCTGCCTCTAGCATAAATATGAGTTTTCTAAACTCCATGAAAGTCTGTTTGATTTAACAAAGGATGTGTCTGATCATAATATGCTCTGCTCAGTTTGTGTGAGTTAACTGGACAGTACCAAAGACCATAATGTAACCATGCATTAAAAATTCAAAGAAAAATTTTCCTTTAAAAGATAATATTGTTTTTGTTATTATTTTTTTTTAGTAAAGCAATGAAGTGATATATCAATAAGCCTGAACTATTTTTGGGAGGCATTATGAATATTGTCATAATTACCTAGACAGGCTCTATCAATCTCTTGTACAAGGGGTACAGTAAAACATTCTCTAGCTATCTACAAGTCTGGTTCTGTACTTGTGTGAAGGACAAGGCATTTGAGGCAATTTATGTCAGGAAACTTTCCTTCACCATAAATACAGGCCATTCTTACAGCTACGTATAGTCACTTTGCTCTTACAGGGGCTTGAACTCAATGTCTGGCTATGTGTATGAGATAGCTTCCCTAGAAGGACAAATGTGCTTATATGTCATCCAAATTATATGTATTTGCTACCATATATTAGCTGTGACAAGAAAATGAATAAGCAGCCTTGTTATATACAAGCAAGAGTTATATATCCAAATACTAATTAATTATGTAACATTTTATAATTATAAAATTATAATTAATTACACATGTGTTCTGAGAAAATTTAACAGTAACCAGAGAGGTACTTTTTATTGTCTTATAGAAAATAAAATGCTTACACCTTTGAAAATAGTAGCAACCACAAGATACACTTTAAAGATTTATTAGTGAGAAAACCTACCAAATCGATACTGCACATTAATTGGTCTTCCATATAAACGAATTCCATTCAGCAAAGCTATTGCATATGACACCGATTCAGGGTGCTTAAAGCAGACAAACCCAAAGGACTTTGGCTTTCCTTCTCTGTCTTTGCATATAGTCACTTTGGTTAGTGGTCCAGCCTATAAGAAACTTAAAAATTATTTTGTCATAAATCTAAAGATTTTTGTACAGTCAGAAAAATCAAGTAAATTCCACTTTGGTTGACTAAAAACAATCTGTTCACATCTTCCTAATAATAAATATCATAATTCCTCATACTTTATACTTTTTGACTTATCAAAGAAACATGGATAGAAAAGATATTTCTTAAAAAAGAAAAGGGAAAGAACTATTATATCTCTCATAGATCAATTTTCAAAGTATTTAAACCTAAATTACTCCATCTCCATACATACTAGCAGTGTTTTTTAAATTTTAATTATTAGCCCATATTAATTGTACAAAATAACAAATTTCACTTCATATTTTCATATATGTACATAATGTGCCCTTATGTTATTCACCCTCAATTTTTCCATCTCCATTTAATTCAAAAATAAAATAAAGTGACAAGTTCAATGTTGGTTGAGTTAGCCTCAAAAAGATGACAAAATAATATCCTAACTGATTCTTTTTCTGTCAAGAAGACGAAAAATGTTCATAGTAGAAACTAAATTTATTATGTATTTTGATCTGGAAATCCTATTTGGTAAATATTCCAGAAGGAAGAGTGTTTCCATATTATTAAGACCTTTAAGTAGGCTCACTATTCTTAAAAGTGAAAAATTAGAAAGGCTCTAAATCTAATAACTGGAGATACAATTTTGTGGTATTTTATAAAAATGGAATAAAATGCCATAAATTACAAATACCCAGACTGCAGTGATAGAAAAATCTATATAAATAATTGAAAGTAAAAACAGAGACATATTGTAGAGAAATGTAAATTACAACTAAAAAAATTATATCACTTATTTGATAATTACTGCAGGAGAACTTACACAAAGCTGATTTAGTGGCAAATGGCTTTTACTCTGATTATTTTTCTATGAAGAGTTAAATAAATGTATAAATGATAATGATAACTTAAGATTCACTCTCTTTACGTTCTCTAGAGCACTGAAAGAACTAGTTTATCCTCATTTTAACTTCAAGGGTGACTCATCAACAAATCAGTTTTTCCTACTCATGCTACTTGTGTGGTGACAGGGTCCTAGAAACCTTTGTGTGACTATATTTCAAATCCAACATATTTGAAATATAAGTTACTTTTTTTCACATATCTTTATTCTAGTGTTTCTTGATTAGAGGTACAATAATGAATTTCTCACTTCAAAGGACAGTTAGAAATTTGAAACAAACAGTAAATGATATATGTGTACAGTAATATTAAAAGTTGTGAATGTTTTGCAATTTTCACTTTTCTACTAGTGATACCAAGTAAATGGAAGCACATAAATGTGGTTATTAAAAAAAATTAGATATGCCAAGGCATTTTTAAATATAAAATTCAAAAAGATTTGCTTACAGCAACAATCATAATCTTTTTAAACCAAAATGAAATATGCTGTGGAAGTTATCAAGTTTTGCTAATTTTAAGGTCATTATGTACTGAAAACATGTACTAATAATACAAAAACTGAAAGAAAAGTTACTTACTTTTAGCGAATTGTTCCCAGGCAAAAATAAAAACAAACTTAGTTTCTGATCTATTAAATGAGATTTACATTTTGTTTAGGTGGAAAAAGGAAATCATAAAAAATGATATGTGCTGCCATGCAGATACACACACGGATTGGTTTGTTTTTGCAGTCCCAGGGATCGAACTCGGGACCTTGTGCTTGGGGGACAGCACCACTGAGCTAAATCCCCGGCCCATAGATCCACACACGGATATAAATTCTGTCTTTCCTGACTAGAAATCACATGTGTATAAGAGTTATTGTTACCCTACCACCTTTTCCACACTCTCTCCTTTTTAGAGGCTTAGTACAAAAGAAACCTGGAGGAAAATAACTGCGAGTTTATATTCTCATTCTGTCTTTCTCTATATGCCCATAAGATTGAATTCATATGGGTAAAACAAACAAACAAACAAAAACAAGAATAAGAGCTTAATTTTTTAAAGGCTAAATTTAAGAGTAAATAATAAGGATAAACATAAAAATCTTAAAATTCATTTTTGGAGGGGTCTAGGAAAGGAAATTTTTCCTGGAATGAACCCTCTCCACCAAAGTGTGTGTTATCTACAATTGAGGTATACTTTAAGGATAAAGGTATGTCTTTAAAAACCAAATTAAAAAAAAAATCCTTCTCATACATAAAACTGCAACTTTCCCTTATTCTGATAGTTAGAGATCACTCTTACTTTCTCTTCACTTTAGCAGTCTTACTAATAGTAATAGCGCTGTCAGCAGTAGCAGATTTTAGTAATTGCCATATGTAGCTCTGTTTTGCCTATTTATTCAACTGAGGAAACTGAGGTACTGATATATTCATTACGGACCTAAAGTCTCAAATGTCAACTAGGAATAATAGTACTGTTTACAGTATAAGTGATTGTGATGAATAAAAGGCAAAATAGAGCTACATATGGCGATTACTAAATGACAAAACAGAAGTGTACATAGTATGAGTTGCTGAGTCTGTTCTGTAGATTATGCTAAACCAGGATAATTAATTTTAAATATCCCTTTCAAAATGTTCCAAGGGGCGTATCTTAAATTTGTGCACTCAGCACCTTACTTTGTGTTTGCACTGTAACTCTGGATCTCTAAATGGTAACTGAGTGGTCGAATAAAGAATTGCTTTGGCAAGTGAGACCCTAGGTGTATATAACAGGTGAATGTTACGGGACACAATCGACTCAATCCTGGAGGTACCAGGCCTCAGAAAGTTTTCGAAGGTCCTTTTGGAATGAAATAAAAGGCCTTGGCCAGGAAATCAATTGATTAAGTCGGGTAAACGGGCTGCCTATCACCAAAATCTCTCATATTATGCACTGCTCTCTGCATAAAAGGGCTTAGGGGAAGGCGTCTGCTATACACCGGCGGAGACATTTAACTAGCGACACCCTCGTTTCACAGGATCTAAGACCTGGGGTGCTCACCGCCTGAAGACAGTGACAGAGCTGATTTCTGCCCTGTTTCAGGACTTCGGGCCCAGGCAGCCTCTGGGGAGCTCTTACTCAGGGCCGGGGATTGGGAGAGCCCCGTCTCTGCCCACTCCCGGACTCTGCGCGGGGGATGGGACGCTCCGCCGGCCACTTCATCCCCACCTGCGCCAGAGCCGAGAGCGCCGAGGAGAAGCTCAATTCAACCCAGGCACAGGCGGGGCGGAGAGGGGCCGGGCTCCGGGGTCCAGGTGCGCCCG